GTTGTTGCTTACTGGCTTGCTTACATGGCTTTGCTCAGATAGCTTTCATATAGAACCTAGGACCACCAGCCATAGCTGGTAGGAGCATCACCCACCATGGGCTGGGTGATCACCCACCATCTTGGCCATTAATCGTCAATTAAGAAAATGCCTTAACATCTGAATCTTATAGAGGCAATTTCTGTTCCCTCCTTACAGATGACACTAGCTTGCATCAAGTTGACATAAAACTAGCCAGGACAATTGGCCCCTTGTCAACTTGACATACAAACATACCACTGTTCAGCCATAACCATTCTTTTCTTGTTCACCCCAAGATCACACATTAACATCAACATCACAACATAAAACATTTTACAAACTTTAAAAGTCTGACAGGCTTTAAAAATTCAAGCACTTCAAAACTGAATCTCTTTAAAAATTCAAAGTCTCTTTTTAAACCTAAAATTCTCTAAAAATTAATTCTCTCCAGGCTAGAGAGATGGCACAGTGGTTATGAGTAGTTGCTCATAACTTGCTTACAGAAGACCTGGGTTCAATTCCTAGCATCCATATAAAGGCTGACAACCATCTATCACTCCAGTTCCAAGGAATATATGCCCTCTTCTCTCCTCCATCCCCCATGAATACTGTACACATTTGATACACAGATATACATACAGGTGAAACACCCATGCACATAGAATAAAAATAAATAAATCTTTAAAAAATTAAAAATTTAGTCTCTCAACTGTGGGCTCCTGTAAGATGAAAAAAATAAACACTTTCTTACTTCAAGAGAGAAGAACCAGGGATGCAACCACAATCTGAACAAAGCAAAACCGAACTCTAACAGTGCGAGTAACTCGAAGTCCAACGTCGGGAATCCGACATAATCTTCAGGGCTTTTCCAAGGGGCTTGGATCACTTCTGCTCCCCCCTCTGCAACACCCCTCTGCCATCTCCCGCTGGCTCCATGCCACTGCTGCTGCTGTTCTTGGTGGTCATCCCATGGTACTGGCATCTCCAAAACGCTGGGGTTTCCTTCCACAACTGGGCTGCGCTTTGCTTTCACCTATGACCTCTCCTAGGCTCCATTTGGGGTGCCAAGCCTCAAGTTCTCTGCATGACCCCTTCAATCTTGAGCCTTCAACTGCTACTGAGGCTACCCCGCCACCAATGGCATCTCCTGGCTTCTCACAGTGCCAAGCCTCAGTTGCTCTCCATGACCTCTTCATGTCTTTAAAACCAGTACCACCTAGGTGACTCTTATAATGTCAGGTTCTGCTGCCATCGTGACATTCAGAGCCAGCGTCTGTATGCCGACTCTCAGTAAACACTTCCCAGAAGATTTCATGTCAGATGGAAGGGCCTGGAGGAGACAGGAACCCCACAAGAAGACCAATAGAGACTACTAACCCAGTCCCATGGGGGCTTTCAGAGACTGAGACATCAACTACGGAGCATGCATGTTCTGGACTTAGGCCCCCTGCACACATGCAGCCATTGGGCAGCTTGGTCTTCATATGGGGCACCTGGTGAGTAGAAGGGGGTGCTATTTCTAACATGGACTCTATTGTCTGCTTTTAGGTCACTTCCCCCTGGCAGGGCTGCCTTGCTTGGCTTCAGGGGATGAGGATATTGTCAGTCCTGATGGGACTTGATGTGCTGGAGACGGTTGATGTGTGGGGGAGAAGGCTCCCCTTTTCTGGGGGGAGGGGAGGAAGGTAGAGAGGAAGGGGAAGGAGGGCAAGGGGAGGACTGTGAGGAGAGGAGGAAGGAGGCCTCCTTGGTATGTAAAGTAAATAAACTGAAATAAAATAATAATAAATACTATAATCTGCTTCACACTTAATAACTGTAAAGAATGTAATTAGGCTGGTCAAGGTGGCACACACAGGTAATCCCAGCACTCAGCAGGGAGGCAAAGGCAGGTGGATCTCTGTGAGTTTGAGGGTAGCTTGTTCCACAAAGCAAGTCCAGGACAGCCAAGGTTGTACATAGAAAGAAAGAAAATAAATAAATAAAAGAATTAAAAGAGAGCTGAAGAGATGGTTTGGTGGCTGAGAACATTTGTTCAACTCTCAGCACCTACATGGTGGCTACAACCATCAATAATTCCAGTTTCAGGGGATCCAGTGCCCTCTTCTTACCTCCTTGAGCACCAGGCAGGCATAATGTTCACATACCTATAGTCAGGCAAAATACACATACATACACACATATAATTTTAAAAGTATACATTTATTTATTACAATTTATTCACTTTGTATCCACGCTGCAGCTCCCTCCCTCATCTCCTCCCAGTTCCATCCTCCCTCCCTTTTCTCCTCCAGTGCCTCTCCCCAAGTCCGCTGATTGGCAAGGACCTCTTCTCCTTCTGTCTGACCCTAGCCTATCAGGTCTCATAAGGACTGGCTGCATTGTCTTCCTCTGTGGATTGGTAAGGCTGCTCCCCCCACCAAGGGGAGGTGATCAAAGAGCCAGCCACTGAGTTCATGTCAGATAGCCACTGCTCCCCTTAATAGGGAACCCACTTTGAAATGGAGCTGCCATGGGCTTCATCTGAGCAGGGGTTCTAGGTTATCTCTGTGAATGGTCCTTGGTTGGAGTTATTAGTCTCTGTAAAGACCTGTACCCAGATTTTTTGGTTCTGTTGCTCTCCTTGTGGAAATCCTGTCCCCTCCAGGTCTTTCTGTCATTCCCTTCTTTCATAAGATTCCCTACATTCTGCCCAAAGTTTGGCTGTGAGTCTCAGCATCTGCTTTGATACCCTGCAGGGTAGAATCTTTCAGAGGCCCTCTGTGTTAGGTTCCTATCCTGTTCCCTGTTTTCTCCCACTTCCGATGACTATCCCATTTGCCTTCCTGAATGAGGATTGATCATCTTACCCAGGGTCCTCCTTCTTGCTTAGCTTCTTTAGGTGTACAGGTTTTAGTATGATTATCCTATATTGCATGTGTAATATCCATTTATAAGTGAGTATATACCATGTGTGTCCTTCTGCTTCGGGGTTACCTCACTTAGGATGATCTTTTCTAGTTCCATCTATTTACCTGAAATTTTTTTAGAAGAATTATAGAGCTAATATATTTGAGATTAGCCTAGGTAATTTAGCAATGGAGTGTGGAGGAAAGAAGAGAGAGGGAGAATGTAAAGCTCTTGGCCATAATCTGGCAAAAAAAATGAAGCCCGATATGAGCATCAGCTAGTGTCATTTCTGGCTCTTCTCCTTGCCCTTGAGGTCTGCTGCACTCTACCTGCTTTTCCCAAGTTCTGAATGTATGTGTTATCGCTCCGAAGGGAACGACTTCTCCAACAGAAGAAATGTTATGGTTCCTCTCCGGGAAGGTTCCCCAGTGCAAGTGTTACAGCTCTGCTCAAATAGCCTGTGAGCGAAGGTCTCTCCAGCGGAAGTGTTACAGCTCCGCTCCATGAGGTATCCTGGCAACTGGGAGACAAGGAATACCACAACGCCGCACTGCACAACAAACCTCACACAAGAGATTAGTTGGGGGAGGAAAACCTCTACTACTGAGCAAGCTGCCTCTGCCAGGGTGAAAAGCAGCTGGGAACTGAGCAGATGCAGGCTTATATAGGGTTTATTGTGGGAGAGTGGGGAAAGGAGGTTCTGGGAGAGCTTTTCAGGCTGGCCTACGATTGGTGGGAATTTTGTGGCCTGATCTTGGGGCAAGCTCAGGGATTGGAGGAATTATTTTTCTTAACCCTGGTGTTGGGCTTGGGGTCAAGTCAGGACCAGGGCATACTTTTCCTGGCTGTTTTACCTTACACTGAGCCCTTTGATGGTAGGGGGATTTTTTTTTTTTCTCTCACTGTCTACTCCTGTGTGTTAAGGTGGATTAATCTTGACCTCCCCTGAGGCCTCTGCTCAAATGCTGTTTTCTCAAAGAGGCCCTTACTGATCTCTAGAGCAGGAGACCCCTGTTCTCAACTGCCAAAGCATTCTCTATTCTCTACAACCTTCCAGTGAGCTGTGAGGGGCTGCTTGCCAAATACTAGACATCACAATGACAAGAAAGTGACAAAAGCTGATGATAATAATACTAGATAATCTAATGCTAAATCTCTAAGAATAGGTATGGTGTAATGGCACCTCTTCCCCAGTCAGACCATTGAACAGGTGTCTTCCAATGAAATGGAAATTAATTATGCAAAAGAACCAGAAACCATTAGTGTAGGTGGAAAATCACAGATAGATTAGTGACTTGTTAAAACGTGTTAGACATGATAATCCATACTTACTTATTTCTACAAAATACACCTCAAATGAAAGAAAAGTTGGAACAGGTTGTTTATCTATTTCCTAGAGAAATGTTCCTGGCCTTAGTTCAAGATGGCATTAAATACTTTCATAAACTGAGAAAACCAACTGTGCCAGTCGGAGAAATTCATTGCTACCTTGAGGATTAACATATGACACAGAATGCAAAACAAAACAAAACAAAAGCTATTTATTTTATCAGTAATGATCAAGTACTTGGGAAATTAGGATGGATACCATCATAGTTGAAAGCAGATACAACAGTGATTCTCTGGGGGAGGTCTTACTTGCTTTGACCCATTAAGGCAAAGGTAGTCTCTGAGGAAGGACATCTTCCACCTCACCAACTTTCAGATTAACGGATCCTGTCCTGTGTAATGGCCTCAGAATACTTTCCAGACGTTATTTCCCAGACAAAATGTGGCAATTTCCTAATAATGATTGGGGGAAATTGAATCAAGCACTGGACGTGGGGCCCCAGGGAGATAGCAGACAGGGGAGATTTCCAAAGAATCGTTAGTGGCTAGCGGGCGGCAGAAGGGCTGTTTCAATGATCCTACAGGGGCTAGGCCCTGGACCATTTGAGACTGCTGCTACAGTGTTGTGTTATCCAACTTCTCATGGTGCTCAGAAGCATTACCCTGACTGTACCGCGGCAGCCAAATCCTGAACTACATTTCCCAGAGGGCTTTGCTCCCGAGCGGTTGCAATTATACAGGGGTGTGTCCTGGAAAGAGAAGCCATAATCGGCCAGCCGCTTTGGAGATCAATCTCCACTGCGCTACGGTGGTGCTGAGATGGTTGGGATCCTGCTACTGCTATGTCTCCCCTTCATCCTGTACTTGGCCACGCCAAAAATCAGGTCTGTGAGAATGTATTGCCTTTTCTTGCTAGGTCTTTCAGAGAGGACAAGAATTCCCACTGAAGCTCGTCTCCGCCACCATCACCCCAACCGCCGAAAAAAGACTAGGAAAACTCTACAAGGAGTTATTTAGATAGCCAAGATCTGGAGTTTAGTGGACTTCAGGCGAGATCTTGGTACCTTGGATGTGGGCATGGCGAAACGCCAGACCTCAGGTGGTCGCGAAAGGGCTCCGGTCCCCAGCAACCTGTGTTGCTCTTTCTGGCCGACCTTATTTCCTCCAGCACCACCTGCTTCTGGCTCTGGGGTAGGCGGAGAGCATGGCGGGCTTCAGACCCTAACCAGGGGCGCAGCCGTGAAAGCTAGTTCCTCCGCTCCCACGCTTTGAACCAGCCTTTGTCTAGTCCCTTCCTTCCAGCCCTTGAGATACTACCGAGCGCTTGCACTTTTTGCTGTCTGATCCCGAAGCCCGCAGGGTTGTCTGTGGCCCCACTGCATGCTCTCTCGTTGCTGTCGCTCACTTCTCCGTCCAGGTGTTAGAGAGAATTGAAAGGGGGAGATTGCTTTCTTTTGCCTTCGGAGTAAGGGTGTGTGGTTTTGTCTGATTTAGACTTGTAAGGATTGGGGGGGGGGGGCGGGTGACGGGGGTGAAAGAAGGCGAAATGGTCTCTTGACCAGGTGTCAGATCAGCTCAAAGCTGGCCACAAAACCATCAGAGAATCAGCGGCGGGCTACAGAAGGGGCAGCCCGCTGATTGGTTCTGGGTAAATCACCAGGAGTGACAGCGGACCAGTAATAAATGCCCCCTTCTCTCTGGTTGTTTGGCCTATAGTTCCTATTGGACCTGAGGTTGTGCCAGCAACTCCTGTCATTTCTTACCATGGTAAATGGTTTATCAAGACTGCTTTCCCACTCTTCTTACTTTACTTTCCCTTCTCTCCCTGGTAGCCTCTTTTTATTTGTATGTCTTACCCCATCTCTGAATACTCCCTGTTCCCACATAGGCACAGATGGGCCTTGTACTCAGGTGAAAACATAGATTTCTTTCTACCACAAGAGCTTCATTTCCGTATAGAATCTGAACAAAAATCTGAAGCAGAACTGTGCCCAGGGAAATGTGTCTGGGAAGAGAACACTCTAAGACCTTTTTTTTTTTTTTTTTTTTTAAATTTAGTTTTATCTTATTGGTGTTTGACTGCTTGTATGTCTATGTGAGGGTATCAGATCTCCTGGAACGGGAGTTACAGACAGTTGTGAGCTGCCATGTGGGTGCTGGGAATTGAACTCTGGTCCTCTGGAAGAGCAGTCAGTGCTCTGAGCCGCTGAGCCATCTCTCCAGCCCCTCTAAGACCTTTATTATCCCTGTGAGAGCTAGCTTGTGAGAATGGGGCTAGAGTTGGGCTTTCATAGTTGTCATTTTTGTTTTTCCCCGATTATGGAAAAAGAGCCAATTACTGGTCCCCAGGATTTATCAGTGTGAAAGCTCAGTCTGAAGGGATGTGAGAGACAGAGCAAGGGGCCTTGGTCTCTGAGGAGTGAGGTTCAACTGGGCAACACAAGTTAGTTTGCAGAAGCTGCTTGCACTTAGCAAGTTCAATGGAATAGGTTGAAATGCTCGTTAAAAACTTACCTCTGAGTCAACAGATCCTTTTAGTCCCAAGATTGTAAAGAGAGAAGGAAAACCGGAGGGTTGGGTTTTATCCATATGGGAGGGCTGCTGCAGCATGCAGCATAGGAGCAAGGACTCCAGTTAGTCAAGACACGATCCTCACTCATTCTGTATAACTCGGTTCAGTTGTGGTTATTGTTGTTCTAGTACTAATGTGTGACCTTAGCAATCAAACACAGAACCTTGTACATGCTATGTACATGCTTGTACTCCAAGCTGTATTTCCAACCCTGGTCCCATTCTTAAATGTATTTTAAAAATGTGTGTGTGTATGTTTTACTTAGAATAATAAGGTTATGATTTCTACTCTTTGAATTGATTTAGCCATTCTCAAGATTATAAAATGCTATTTGTCACAGTTTCTGTTGTTGTTAATGTGTGACTTTAGTCATCAAACACAGGGCTTTGCACGTGCCATGTACATACTTTTACTCCTAGCTACATTCTCAACCCTTGTCCCATTCTTAAATGTAGTTTTTAAAAAATGTGTGAGTGTGTGATCTCTTTCTTATTTTTGACGTAGATTCATAAGCTTATGTTTCTACTCTTTGAATTGGACTAACCATTCTTGAGATTACAAAATGCTGTTTGGTACAGATTGGCATGCAAAGACCAACTTTCCTCTGCTTGGTTGAGTCTTATGGTTTCCTGAGCCAAAAACACCTGAGTAAACACTCAGCCACATCTTATGCTTCGGGAAGAAGATCTAACTTTTTCTGATTGTTTTTTTCAGTTTTTTGAGACAGCATTTCTCTACATCATCCTGGCTGTCCTGGAACTCGCAAGAAATCTGCCTGCTTCTGCCTCCTGAGTGAGCTACCACACCCAGCCAGATCTAACTTTTGCTTTTAAAATGCTTTCACTTTTTGTCCTTAAGCAAGAGCACAAAATTTTTGTTTTCCTTTTTGAGACAGTTGCTATGTAGTCCAGGCTGGCCTTGAACTCCATTCGCCTATCTCCCGATTAATAAGATTATACCTGACTTAAGAGGAGAAGGCTACCTTCTTTCTTTGCTTTTAACTTTTTAACATTTATTTCTTCCGTATGTGTGTGTTTTATTGTATGTTGGGGTGGGTACACACGTGTGTGCCACGGCATACATGTGGAGGTCAGAGGACAGCTCTGGGGAGTCACTTCTCCCTTTCCATCACTCAGGTCCTGTTGTTGTACTGATGCTGGCGGGCTTAGAGGTGCACATGTTTAACTGCTAAGACATCTCGTCATCTTGTCATTTTTCAACTTAAGCTTATAAAAGAATACCATTGGAAGAAACAAAAGCAAGCTCAGCCTTGGGATGGGAAGGCTGATGGCATTGCAGGGGCCCTCAGCAGGAATGGATAATGAAGAACTGATGTGTTTTCTTATGTCTCTAGGAAAATGCTGTCCAGTGGGGTGTGTACATCTACTGTCCAGCTTCCCGGGAAGGTAGCCATAGTAACCGGCGCTAACACAGGCATCGGGAAGGAGACAGCTAGAGAGCTGGCCCAAAGAGGCAAGTGCGCCTGCTCCCAACTTGCCTGGGCTGATAGTTTGCCCCTCACAGTGATGGTCACGCTCACTGTAAGAACGCTCCGGGTACCTCCTAAATCCCATTTTTTTCTTTGCTAATTTTCTTCAGATACCACTGTTGGGAAGTGAGAGATAGACATTCCTACTTTGTACAATGTCGGGAGCATTCAGCACCTGGGTTCAGTCTCTCAAACCACGTGAAAACAGAGCTGGTCATTTTTCCTTTATCTGGTTGACAGGAGCCCGTGTATATTTAGCTTGCCGGGATGTGCAAAAGGGGAAACTGGTGGCTAGCGACATCCAAGCCACCACAGGGAACAGTCAGGTCCTGGTGCGGAAACTGGACCTTGCTGATACCAAGTCTATTCGAGCCTTTGTCAAGGACTTCTTAGCCGGTGAGTAGAGACAAAGACTATATTTTGATCATTGGGGCATCTTCAGGATGCACTAACAAAAAGAGAGCCTGTTTTAGTTGCTTCTCTATTGCCATGTTGAGACACCATGACCAAGGCAACTGATGAAAGGAAGTAGTTTCATTTGGGGTTCACTGTTCCAGAAGACTAGAGTCTGTTGCCATCACATCGAGGAGCATTGCAGAGGGTAGGCAGGCGTAGTGCTGGAGCAGTGGCTGAGAGGCCACATCTTGACCTACAACCACAAGGCAGAAATAGGTAATTGGTAATGATGTGGAGTGGGCTCTTGACCTTCTCCAACAAGGCCACACCTTCTAATCCTGACCAAAGAGTTCCACCAGCTTGGGATCAAGTATTCAAATATCTGAGCCCATCAAAGCCATTCTCCTTCAAACCACCACAGGGCCCCAAAATCACAACACTGAGCAAGAGCTAAAGTCCACACTGTCGCAGGAATATCAAAACTCAGTATGGGCTTGTAGGGTCTCTCATAAACACCCATGCCAGGATAGGAAGATGCTGAGGCTGAAAGCCCTTGAGAGCTGGAGATATAGAGAAGGTTGAGGTTCACAGAGAGCCTTTTGGTCCACGATATACCAAAAGAAAAATAAATACCAAAAGAAAAATAAAACCCTGGCCACCACCTCAGTGACATAATAAAGTAGCTTACCATCTCTTGGTATGTTGGTTACTTTTTTCTTGCTATGATAATACAGTTCCAGAAGGCAGAACAAAGGCATGGCAGCAGGAGCAAATGACAGCTCCCATCTTGAGCAGCAAGCAAGACAGAGAGCATACATCCTCCAGCAAGGCCACACTACCTCATTCGCTCCACACGGCTCCCAAATGGGGACCAACATTGATGGGAAGCATCTCATTCAACCCACACACTTAGAGTCTAGATTGAGGAAGAAAGGGTGCTGACCTGCAAGAAGTTAGAGCCCAAGCTGACATCTTGAAATCATTCTACTAAGTGACAGAGAATTTTAATTTAAAAACCGCGGGGCCAGCAAGATGGCTCAGCAGGTAAGGGTGCTCGCTGCCAAGCCTGATGACCCCAGTTTGATCTCCAGGACCCACATGGTGGAAGGAGAAAGCTAACTCTCACAACTTGTCCTCTTACTGCACACATACTCCATGTCATATATTCTCTCTCTCTCAAAAAATAAGTGCAGTGACATGTTTTAGAAAGCTGTGATGTCTCACCAAAAGTAGGTATGTTCCACCCCCATCACCCAGAGATCTAGACCCCTTTAAGGAAAACGACTTCCACCCTTGGGAGTTTACACTCTAAGTTACAAATCTCACAGGGAAATGAACTATAAGAGAGAGGTGGCAGGGTTCTCTGAGGGCCTGAAGCCTAGAAGTGTGGGTGTTCATGGAGCATCCTTTTCTTGCTGACTCATCCTTTTAACTCATCTTGGGAAGTCTTTCTGTTGGGGGAGCTTGATGGAACACTTTCCCAAAACAGTGAGGAAGGAGCTTGTCCTGGAGAGCCTGGACATGCTATTTTGTGGTGGAAAATGGAATTTTGCCCTGTAAAAGTGTATGACAATCAGCCCTAGTCTTACAATTAAAAACAAAACAATACAAAGTGACTGGATGGGACAGGGGGCAAAAAGTCTTCCATCTCTGCTTTCATGGCCCTTCCTTGGAGGCCTAGGCCTGGGTTGTGAGGAAGATTTCTGAGATGTGAACACCATGGCTGCTTTCTCTTCCTGCAGAGGAAAAGCACCTCCACATTCTAATCAACAACGCAGGAGTGATGATGTGCCCCTACTCGAAGACCGCAGATGGCTTTGAGATGCACATTGGAGTGAACCATTTGGGTGAGAAGTCTTGTTTCCATTCCAAAGCATGAGGGAACCACACGTTCAGAAAATTCAGGCGTCAGGTGGAACTTTCTCTGTGGCATCATTGGGGCTCTGGGCTATAGTCAACCATGCATGCGTGACAAATAGTTGAGAATGCCTGAAAGTTGAGGGCTAATCATGAAGCCTGTTTCAGGTTCTGCATGTGTGTGGTGTGTGTGTATTTCAGTTACGTGTATGTCTGTGTGGGTATATACTACAGGTATGTTCATGTCTGCAGAAGCTGAAAGGAAGCAGCAGAGCCTCTGGAGCTGGAGTTAGGGGTGGTTGTGGGCTTCCATATATGGGTCCTGGGAACCAAACTTGGATGCCCCGGAAGAGCAGCAAGCACTCTTAACTGCTGAGCCATCTCTCCAACCCCTCTCCCTACTTTTTAAAATCTGTAACTTGGATTTGGCTTGTGTTGGGGTTTTATTCGAGCAGCTTGATTAGACTGAGTCCTTTGTTGCTATTACGAGTGATCTTTACGGTCAGGTAGAGGCTATATGCCCTTTGTGTTCATTCGTTTTGGGGACAAGGTCTTGCTATGTACTACCTTCCAACGTGATCTTCCTGCCCTCAGCCCCCTGAGTGCTAAGGTTACACATGTGTGTCACTGTCTGCTCTCAAAAGAAGGATGGTAACCTCTGTTGAAATGAAACAGGATTCACCTCCTTAGTACAGACACGCCTCAGATAAGGGTGTCTCCTGTCCTGGGCTGTTTCCAGTTCCTTACATCCCCTCTGAACCTGTTCTCTAATTTATAATGAGACGCTGCCGTGGTGGGCCTCATTCCTGAGTGTTGTCTCACCTCTGACAGCTGCTGTGGCAGCTTCCTCCCTCCTGAGCTGGGCTTGCCACTACACTTTCTCGTCCCCACACAGGCACAGGTGCGGAACAACTCTGTTAACCCTACTTTCTCTCGACAGGTCACTTCCTCTTGACCCATTTGCTGCTGGAAAAGCTGAAGGAATCAGCCCCATCACGGGTGGTCAATGTGTCTTCTCTGGCACACCATCTGGGAAGGATCCACTTCCATAACCTGCAGGGCGAGAGGTTCTACAATGCAGGTCTGGCTTACTGCCACAGCAAACTAGCCAACATTCTCTTCACTCAGGAACTGGCCAGGAGGATGAAAGGTGGGTATGGGAGTGAGCAGCCTGGGAGACAGGAGCCGGTGGGAAATAGTGAAAAGCCACAGCGTGGGTGGGGACCGTTTTCTCCTGGACAGGGCCCACTTTCATGAGCGTTAACCGGGAATGGTTTTAGTGAGTAGCTCCTACTGAATAGTGGAGGCAGCTGGCTGGACACACGGGAATTCTGAGTTTGGATTGGAAGCCTTGGCCTCACTGCTTACTGCTGTCTGACCTGCAGCAAGTAACTGAGATTACTAAGATTTAGTTCCTCCTAGGTACAGTGAGAGCTGTCTCACAGCTTGTTGTCAAAGTCCATTCAGTCCTCACAAGCAAGTCAGGGTTTTTCACTGCTAGTGACAAGCGAACTAGTACAGACAGTACTATTTCATACTAATTAATTTCTATTAATTACTAATTAATAGCAGACATTAGTATGAAACACAGGGGAGGGGCCATCTCTCTAATAGCAAAGGGTCAAACAAAGGGATTAGGGAGGTGGCTTAGCAGTTTAGAGCAGTTGCTCTTGTAAAGGACTCAGGTTCAGTTCTCAGCATCCATGTGGTGGCTCATCCGTCTGCAATGCTAGTTCCAGGAGATCCTATACCTTCTTCTGACCTCCTTGGGTACCAGACACACATGGTGCACATACATACATACAGGCAACCTACTCATAACTATTTTTTTTTTAAAGAAAAAAGAAAATGTGCCTGAGAAAGGGACTCTCTAGTCACAAGTAAACAGAGGTCATTAGCATTGTCTGCTGTGGATTTCTAATAAAGAGAAAGGGGGAAGGCAATGCTTAGACATTAAGCCAAAAAGAACTGGGGGAGGGGAGCGTGAGCATCAAAAATTCTAAGGTGGGAGTTTAATGGGCCATGAGAATTACTTTTTTTCGAGATAGGGTTTCTCTGTGTAGCCTTGCCTGTCCTGGACTCGCTTTGTAGACCAGGTTAGCCTTGAACTCACAGCGATCCACCTGTCTCTGCCTCTTGAACGCTGGGATTAAAGGCGAGCACCACCATGCCCAGCTTGAGCCACAAGAATTCTAAGGTTTGGTGTTTGGATAGAAAGTGCTGAGGACATCCAGAAATGAGCTAAAGCACCTAAAGAGTTAAGAACATTAGAAGAGGCATAGGGTCATGGAAGCCAGTGGAAAAGAAGACTGAGAGGGGGTGATGAGGATACCCCACAGTGTAAAGAGCTGCTGAGAGGCTGTGACTGGGCCCTGCCACGCTAGGGTAGCGAAAGCCTCTCCCAGCCCCCGGTTCCAAATCTGTCCAACTCAGTCCACAGTGCATGTGATGCCACCAGGAGCCCAGAGCTCATCTGTGGGGCTCACATGCGTCTTCATGTGCTCTGCTCCCTCCTAGTTGGTAAAGTCAAATCTTGTCTTCCTTCTTGACATGGCCCCTCTGCCTGCACCAGGCTCTGGAGTGACAACGTATTCTGTCCACCCTGGCACTGTCCATTCTGAATTGGTCCGGCACTCATCTGTTATGAGGTGGTTGTGGAATCTTTTCTTCCTGTTCATCAAGACCCCTCAACAGGGAGCCCAGACAAGCCTGTACTGTGCCTTAACGGAAGGTCTGGAGAACCTAAGTGGCAGTTACTTCAGGTATGAATTCATCTGCCTTTGAGATGGGTTGTTACCGCTTAATAACTTGGGTTTGTCTGGTATAGTATATGCTTTTTTGTTTTGTTTTGTTTTGTTTTTTGAGACAGGGTCTCTCTGTGTAGCCTTAGCTGTCCTTTGTAGACCAGGCTGGCCTCCAGCTCACCATGATCAGCCTGCCTCCACCTTCCTGAGTGCTGGGATTACAGATGTGCCCCACCGTGGCTGGCAGGATATGCTTTTTTATAAAAAGTATATTTCCCAGAACTGGAGAGATGGCTATGTTCGCACAGGCTGCTCACCACGGGTACCAGGCATGTACCTGGTTCACAGACATACATGCAGCTAAATCGCCATACATATAAAATAATAACAGTAAATTAAAATCTTTAAGTAAATTCCCCAAAATAGCTTTTGTCAACTGTCCCTAAGATCTTTTAAGGCGTGCAGGGGAGATGGCAACTGTGGGAGAGAGCAGGGGCCAGGGCGCAGGAGAGGGAGCATGAGGAGGGGCATAAACAAGGGCCCTGGGCTGGGCCAGGCCAGGGGTATTAAAGAGGCTGAGGTGGGGAGTGGGGCTGCTATCCAGCGCTTGAGAGGACTGGTAGGATCAGGAAGGAGAGACTGAGGGTGTGAAGGGGCCTTCTGGCTTGTGGTTGCAAGGAGGGCGGGACTCCCGTGAGCCCTGTTGTGAGGATGTGTGTGTGTGTGTAGGGGCGGGGGCTTCAGACATTTTTGTGAAGGGGGGTTTTGAAAGTCTTCAAATTGAACGTGGAAGGGCCTACGGAAGAGTTTGGGTAGAAAACGAGAGAAGGAGGGCTTGGGGAATGGAGGGAGTGTAGCCGTGACGAGGTAGTATAGAAAGTGAGAGACGGGAGGAAAGTTTGGAAGGAAGGGGAGGGGGCAGTGGAGCAGCGCGGTGATAGAGGGTTTGGGGGTTCCCCTTTCCCGTGTGGAAAAGCGACAGAGTTAAGCAGTATCAGTTGCAGCCAATTTTAATTGCTTTTAATAGGGTGAGAAGGTCATGTAGGTTTGGAGAATTGGGATTGAGTGAGGGTTGAGCCAGATTTGCTTTCCAAAACACTGTTTTGCTTCCTGCTTCCTTGTTTTTCCTGGTCACAAATGAGATGAGTAAAGCAACTTTCTAGGGTTTTTTTTTTTTTTTTTTCAATTATCAATATAAGAATGGGGAAAAGATATTGCTGGAGCCTTATATACCAAGGTGGGGGCTCCGGAAGCCTGAGGAGGAAAGAGAAAAAAAGAAAAAAAAAGATATTTCTCATTTTTTCTAGTACCTTCTAGGCTTGATTTTATTTTTATAACATCTTTTATACTAATAATTATGGTGTTCCTCTGTTTTTGTTCTCTCTCTCATGTCAATCCTGTTTTCTTCCCATTTTGGAACCCAAATTCTATTTTGTATTTAATCTCTATTTCTCTATTATCTTCAAGATGGAAGTGGTGCCAGTGGATTCCTTTCTATTTTATTTTACTGTTTTCTCAGTAAAACAGCTGGGGATGGAGCCTGGGGCTTCTTGCAACGCTAAGGCGGGGGCTCTATCGAGGCTCTATCCCCTGCCCAATGTTTGCTTTTTTGGGGCATGTTGTACACGTTTGTACGTGTGAAGGTGCGTGTGTGTCTATACCTGTGGAAGCCGAAGGGCGACTTCGGGTGCCGTCTACCTTTGGAAGTGGGTGGGACACAGAGAAAGGCAAGATTTCCCTCTGGTTTGAAATGTGCCACAAAAACTAGAGTGATTGGCCAGTGAACCTCAGAACCCCACCTGTCTCCGTCTCCCCTGCCCTGGGATTACAAGCAGGTACCACCACATCTGGCTTTTTTTTTTTTTTTTTTAACATGCTTGCAAGGCACACACTTTACCAACTAGGCTAATCTCCCAGCCCTGTTTTCTGTTTACTTACTTATTTTTTTGAGACACAATTTTGCTCTTTAGCCTAGAATGATCTCACACTCACTATCTACCTGCCTCTGCCTCAACTTCTATTGTAGAAAGTTTTGAACCTATGCACAAGTAGAATAAATGGCATCTTAACCCCATATATGCCCACTATTCAGCTGTCAATAACCAATTGGCCAAACCTGCCCCTTTCACAGACTGTCATCATATTTTTATAAAGAAAAATCACATGCATCATATAAGATCAAATGTGTTTTTACCCCTACCTTCATGATATTGTTGAAATAACCTCGTTTTAGAGAAGAGGCTGTGAGTAGCATTAGATTGAAAAGATGTAGCCAGTCTTTGCTCCATGTGGGCTAGTCCTTTTCCCACCCTTTATCACTCCTCCTCCGGTTTCACCCCCTAGCACTAGATAGGAGAGAAAGAGTAATAGAGGGGAGACACAGAGATCCGTGAGTCTAATTTCTTCTTGTTTCTTCTTTGAGCACTAATAAACCATGGCCAACGCCCCTGAATGGCCACCTAGCAACAGCACGATGGGAACCTTAGCATTTATATACCCTCTGCGTGTTTCCAGAACTCCAGAACTGCAGAAACTGTGTATATAGTTCTTGAACTTCAGATCCTTATTTCCAACTATCTGCTATACAGTTGTACTTGTGTGGCGGGCAGATATCACATACTAGACACAGTGTCAGGTAGACAAAACCACGCCTCTGCTAGAGCACGAGGCAAATCATAGTCAGCTGCTGCAGACAGTCCGAAGCAGCCCCATATCCCCACACCTGAGATTAAAACAAAACAAAATCTTAAAATATCTCTGTTTTTTTTCTTTTTTAAAGAAACCCAGATTCCCGAATTCTCACTACAGAAAGATGAGTAAACAGATGACAAAGAGCTAATAGTGCCAGACTTGTGGAGGAGCCATAGAAATTGGTTCAACAGAGAGGTAGAAGATGATCTGTGCTTTAGGGGGAAAAAAAAAGAAAAAAGAAAAAAGGATTTTTAAAAAGTGAGTAAGTAACATAGAGTTTCCAGTTTCAAGTAATGACAACTTCAGTGAAAATGGAACTTCCATGAGAGCAGCCCTGAATGTTTGGTAGATGTTTAATTGACTGTGGGGCTGGAAGAGGATTTGTTAACCCAGTTTCACATCTGTGGGACTAGGAGGTTGATGAGAACATGAAATGAGAAACAGACATGGGAAAAGAATACATGAGACTTATGGATCTTGAATTCCAGGGCAGTAGGCATGAAGTCTGGCTAGCAAGCCAGATGGAAATGAACTACAGTATTAGAGTAGACTGGCAATGGTGAATGGCCGATCAGCTGTCTGACACACCCCGCTGGGAACTGTTTTGGGAGGGTGAGGACATCACCTGTCTTCTGTCTTGAGTCTTAGTTCCATTGTTTCCCATCCACTCTTCAAAGAGGACAAGTTGGATGGGAGGGTAAGTTTGCTATTGCCAAAAAAAAAAAAAAAAAAAAAAAAGAAAGAAAGAAGTGAATGGCTATTCAGCTGAAGTGATGTCTGTCTACCTGAGACTGTGTCTAGTGTGTGATATCTGCCCGCCACACAAGTACAAATGTATAGCAGATAGTTGGAAATAAGGATCTGAAGTTCAGGAACTACATAAACTATAAAAGCATTGTATACTAGATAGATACATACCTCTGTGCATTGGAATGATTTTATTTTATTGTTTCACTTTTTGAGACAAGGTCTCATTAGGCCTTGGCTGTCCTAGAACTTGATAGGTAGACCAGGTTGACCTCAAACAGTAACCCACCTGCTTCTGCTTCCCAGGGTCCTGGGACTAAAGGTGTTCATCACCACATTGGCCTGTTCATTGATTCATTCATTCATTTGTTCATTCATTTATTTATAGACACGGTCTCTTGTAGCCCATGCTAGTTTCAGACACACCATTTAGCTCCTAATCCTTAAATTCCTAATCCTCCTGCCTCTAATCCCCAAATGCTCAGATGTGTGACTCTTAAGGAACATTTCTCATGCTGTGGATATTAATCTTACTGCATTTTAAAGGTCTAGCAGCAGCCTTGTAGATCAGTATCTAGAGATGAGCATAGAAGTTTGTTCTGATAGAGGCCTTGGCTATTTTAGTGGCTATTCCCTCGCCTGGTTCTACTTACTAATTACTTTCTGTCTCTAAGGATTTGCCTATTCTGGGTGTTCCACATAAACGGAATCCTAACTAGAACCTTTTGTGGCTTCTTTCACTTACCATAATGTTTTCAAGTTTCATCCATGCAAAAGCATATGTCACTATTAATTACTTTTTAGCTACAAAGAACGCTTCATTGTATGTTCGTACCTTTATATACCACACATAAAATGAACATACTGTTCTGCTTCCTGGCTTTTTAAACAATACTGCTTTGAACATTGATATAATGTTTATTTTTATTATTATTTGCTTGCTTTCACTTTGGTTTTTGAGACAGGGCTGGCCTGGAACTTGTGGCAGATATTCTGTCTCAGCTTCCCGAGTGCTGAGATTATAGTTGTGAGCTAGGATGCCCAGCTCTGGTTTTTGTTGTTCTCTTGTGTTTGTTTTTGAGACAGGTTTTCACTCTGTATCTCGGCTGGCCTTGAAGTTCCCAAGCAATCCATGCAGGCCTTGAACTTATCCTCCTGCCTCTGCCTCCTGAATGCTTAAAGACATACACCACCGTACTGGCCCAAGTGAAAATTTTTATATGGACATCCTTTAATGGTCTATAGTGGAATTTCTGAATTATTGGCAATTTTATTTTAGCTGTGGAAGAGCTCCCACGCTTTCCAAAGTGGCTCTACCATTTTCTATTCCTGCTGGCAGTATATGAAGGTTTTGGTTTCTCTACAGTGGTGGACAGCTCCTTCTGGTCTTAGCCCTCCTGCTGTGTATGAAATAGCAGCTTGCCCTACTCAGTCTCCTGCTAGTGTTGTTGTTGAGCATTTTTGTGTGCTTTGTTTACGTGCTTTGTTCAGCATCTTTACTGGAGAATTGTCTTTTCAGCTCTCCTACCAATTTTAAAACTAGGTTTTATCTTTTCATCGTTTAGTGTTCTTTATAGTCTAGATACAATTCCTTTGTCAGATATATGATTTACAAATATATTTTCATAGTCTGTGGATTATTTCACTTTTTTGTTTTTTGTTTTTGTTTTTCAAGACAGGGTTTCTGTGTAGCCTTTGCTCTCCTGGACTCACTTTGTAGACCAGGCTGGCCTCAAACTCACAGAGATCTGCCTGCCTCTGCCTCCCAGAGTGCTGGGATCACAGGCGTGCATCACTGCACCTGGCTTCATTTCACCTTTTTAATGATATCCTTTGAAGCTCAAACATGTTTAATTTATGAGGTGCGTGGGTATGTGTGGGTGTGTGTGGGTGTGAGCATGTTGCTGGGATAGAACCCCGAACTTCGACCATGGAGCCACACCTCTAACCCAAGTGTTGTTGTGTTGTTTCATTTTTTGTTGTTGTTGTCTTTTTTTTTTTTTTTTTTTTTTTTTTTTTGAGATAGGGTTTCTCTGCTTAGCCTTGGCTGCCCTAGACTCACTTTGTAGATCGGGCTGGTCTCAGACTCACAGAGATCTGTCTGTCTCTGCCTCCCTAAGTGCTGGGAGTAAAGGCCTGTGCCACCATGCCCAGCTCAAGTGTTAAATTTTAATGTTGATGGAAGTCCAATTTATCAGTTTCTTTGTCGTATCCAAGGAACCACAAACAAACAAAAAAGAATGAAAGAATTGTCCTTGAATTGTCTAGGTGGTACAGTTTGGATGCCTGTCCTGCAGAGTTATGGCAATGCAGAGAAGGCATATGAATACCTTTCTGTGGCTTGAATGTGTACCTAACACAATGGTGTTGAAAATTGAAATTGTCAAGATCATGGAATATTATCACCATTGTTACAGAGTGGGTTTGGTGTTGTGAAGATGGCTTCCCCCTCACTGTCACTTTTACAGTTTTGTTCTTCCTCTCCCTCTCTCCCCATGTCCTCATGTGACAGGGCTTTAGGTGTGCCAGGCAGTGCTCAACGTACTGAGTTAGCTAGCTCTCAACCTTGTTCACTCATGTGACAATGCCTTCTGCATCCAATGTGAACAGCAGGATCTTAGCTTCTGGACACTGTCTAAGGCCTTGACAGGTAGACTTCTGAGCTCATTTGAAGTATATGGACCTATACAGGTGCCTGTAATACCAGCATTTCAGGGGAGTGGCTCGAGGCAGGAGGATCGTGAATTTGAAGCCAGACTGGGTCAGAGAGCAAGTGTTCTAGGCCAGCATGGGCTACATAGAGATGCAGACTATAGAATCAGAGAATGAAGAAATAGGATAGCACTGTCCCTATAAAGTACCTTGGGGACCTGTGTGCTCTAGATTGTTTTCCTAGCATATTCTTTACACCAGGCAAAGAGAAAGTTCCGTTCTTAACCCTGTGTCTCAACTCTCTTGTTTCCCTTCCAGTGAATGCCACCTGGCCTGGGTCTCTAGCCAAGGTCGTAATGAGACGATAGCCAGGCGGCTGTGGGATGTCAGCTGTGATCTGCTGGGCCTCCCTAATGATTGGTAAGTGGTGGTTTGGATTTAAAAGAAGAATGGAAGAGATTATGATTGTCCTTCAAAGTGGCCAAAACTTTGAGCACAAAGAGCATAGAACTTCAAGCCTTCCCTGCTTGGCATCCAGCCAGTTAAATCCCAGTTCCTCTAAACATCTTGACTTTGTTTCTGCTCCTGCCAGCGTTTCTAGTGGTATCACCGACTAAGACAGAAGACCCTCATATGACCTACACAGTTCCTATTTTCCTTTGGAAACCTACTTCTACCAAGGAGCATGGAAGCCCTGTTAGGATTGGGGCATGGCAGTGTGGGTTAGATGGAGCTCCTCTGAACCAACCATCCTCTCCCTGAAGAACTCCATTGTAACCTCAGACAAGCCCCAGGAGTCCAGTGACCTGGCTCGAGAGCAGGCCTCTGTGCCCCCAGCATCTGGATACTTCAGGAAAGTCTTCACTAAATCTGGCAATCTGAAGCTTTTGCTGCTGACACACTTTCCTACATCCAGACCACAGAAGAGCTTCCTTCTCTAAGAAGTTTGTGGAGTTTGAACGGCAGAAATAAAAGTAAAGCCAAGCTGTCATTTTCCTACTGTTTTTTAGCCTAGTAAGGAGGCAATGAAAGGAGAGCCGTGAGATGATAGGTCACTTGGCTTCATTACTGACTCTAGACGCATGGGAAGCCTCTTTTCTGTGCCTTAGTTTCTCTTAGGAAATTAGAAAAGGAAAGGCCTTTTCATTGTCTTTGTGTCTTCTTGTTCGTTTATGCAGTTGGGAGTGCTTCCACAAAATTCACAACAGCCACGCAAAGGAAAAGTCCTAAATCCGACTACTGTAGACAGATGAGCAGAGATGGCACAAACCACTGTGGAGTCTCTGATGTAAATGAGTACAGTTGCAAAGCGAGGGGGACACTGTATATGTGGGAATCAGTCACTGAGAAGCACAGAGGCAGCAAGGAAGAAGATTAAGGAAAGAAAAATCCTAGGAAGTAATGCATGGTAATGAAGGGATCAGCCAAGGATCTAAAACCACAACCGAACAGTAGCAATAGACACGCCCACTATTTTAACCACCAAGGAAAAGTCCAGAGCACAAGAGTGAAAACTTACCAAGTTTTGATTCATAAAATTTATCCTAAGGACTGACACTTGTAATTACAGTCAGTTTCACAGACTTTCAGAGCATTTATTACATTAGCTTAATAAGATGTCAGTTTCAGTGAGGCATGTGGAGAGATGGAGTAGCCTTAGTATTGGCTGCTGTCCCAGAGGACCCTGGTTCAGTTACTAGGACCCACATGGTAGCTCACAACCATCTAACACCTCACAGTTCTAGAAGATCCGACACCCTTATCTACCCCCATGGATAGTACAGGAATACAGGCATTCGTGTATAAATAATTCTGTAAAATAATAAATTAGAAAATGTCAATTTCAGGGTTAGAGGTGGGTGCTTTCCTGGTATGTGTAAGGCTCTGGGTTTGATATCTTCAATTTACTAGAATCCTGTGCTCTATTTGGAGGGCTTTATCAAAAGCAATGCAGGCCAAGGGTGTCGGAACCCCTCATGTTCCCACACTTGTTTGGAGGCTGCTATTCTGTGGGAGTTTGCCATTTTCTTAGGCTGATGATTATTTCTTAAGCTTGAATATGTAAGACTGATAGGACCATGATCCTTAACTTTAAATATTTGTAAATTGATTTTTGTGGGCTTGTTCTGACCAATAAACTATACATCTAAAAATTAGTTTATGGGGAAAGTGAGAACATTTTGACAATGCAATGAATAACTGAATTCATATTTGACTGAGAATTTATATTCACCTGTCAATGAAAATAAAGGTTCTTTTCAATTATCATGTTTTTAGTTCCAGGTTATAACTGTAAGAATTAAACGTTTAATTGTAGTTCAAACACTGCTAGTTATGCAGCTGTTTCCCATTCTGATGGACGCACGTGTCTCAGAGTCAACACAGTACGACTGAAACTCATGTTTCCTTAATTTGGGTTGTGCCACTGTGCACAGGTCAGTGTTCCCATGTCTCTTGGTCACGGCAGGTGCTCCTTTATGTACCGATTTATTTCTGTGACAGAGAAATCTAAGGCTTGGGGTTGAAGAGGTGACCCAGCTCTTAGGGTCAGGCACCATGACAGGCAGCTCCAGAGGATCCAGCGCCCTCTTCTGAGCTCCGCAGGCAGGGCGCTTGCACTCACACACTTAAATGCGGATCTTTTATTTTTATATTTTATTTTTGAGGCAGGATTTCTCCGTGTGGCCCTGGCTATCCTGGAACTCGCTCTGTGGACCAGGCTGGCCTTGGCCTCAGCAATCCATCTGCCTCTGCCTTCCAAGTGCTAAGATTAAAAGTGTGGGAGATCACTCTTGGTCTGCCTTTTAATTTTATAAAAAAATTATAAAGGAATACAGGACTCTGCACCACTTCTAACATCAGAGTTTATCATCTCTGAACAACACATATTACATTTTATTTATTGAATTCAATGGCCAAAGAATTCAAGCTTGTAGAACCCAGGGCTGCAAAGACAAAAATAACCAGGAACTGGCTCCCACGCACACCTTGGAAGGTGGAATGTAGGACGTTGCTTATGCTAGAGGAGCGCTGTACCCCCCAGTCGCACCCTCAGCCCCACATACATCTTTCCATATATAAATACTGAACTCCCATACAAACTTTTGAGAGTGGGCTCTACGCAAATCATGCCATCAGTATACATAGGAACTTATACCCATGGAAAGCCAGAAAGGACTTCATAGTTGTTGATATATTTCACTTATCAGCAGATAAGATGTGGGAAAACTGGTCTGCCTTTCACACTCCATCATAAATTACACAAGAGCAGAGATAGATTATTTTGATCAACATACGGCTTAGTCTTTGCACAATGCCTATGCTTAACCTGTTGTGAGAACGGGAGGCAACCTAATGGATTAGACTAGCTCAGCCCCTAGAAGCGGTGAGTATATTTTGGGATCACACTGCCCGTTTTCCTTTTCTGAAAGCCAGAGACCCTGGTCACTCAGTGTTTTACCATCCGAGAACAGGCAGGATAGCACCTTGAAAGGATGCTATCTATCAAGGGCTGGGAGTGAACATTTAGTCGGGATATAAACCGAACTCAGGTGGCAGAACGACGACAGGGAGGATGACAGCGAGCCGCAGGTGCTATACTGTCACTGCGCAACCGGGCTGGCCCTCTGCGCCAGGACACAGCTGCCCTCCCTTACTTAACTACAACCCCCAGCATGCACTGCAGGATCGGCGGGACCGGCTAAGGCGGCCGAGGCGCCCGTCCCGCGAGGCTCCTCGGGCCCTTCGCCTTGGTACCTCCCCAGTGGCCCTTGGCTATCTGCCGGCCGGGGGCATACACTCGCTCCAGCGCGGTGTCGCGCCCCTGAAGTAGCCGGGACCCTGCCCTGCCCCGGCTTTCCGTCAGGCTTTGGCGCCCGGCGCCCGCGCGCTGACGGCGGGAGGGGGGATGGAGGAGGGCGTCCGGCACGGAGGACCCCGGAAGCGCCTGCTTCCGGGCGGCCGAGCGGAGGTCGCTGTGATGGCTTCGGGGCTGGGCAGTTGATCGCCGAGGTGGGAGTGGGCCCTGTGCCCGGAGTCTCAGGGGCCACCGCTCACGCGCAGCTTGCGCCATGGCCACCTCCGCCGCCTCCTCCGAGCATTTCGAGAAGCTGCACGAGATCTTCCGTGGCCTCCTTGAAGACCTACGAGGAGTGCCGGAGCGGCTGCTGGGGACCGCAGGGACCGGTGAGGCGGGGGCGGGACCAAACCAGAACTCCGCCGGGTGCTGTCCTCCCCCGACGCGGACCCCGGGCTCCCAGCTTCCCTTTCGGGCACGCCCTCTGCTGCTGTCCGGCCCCGGACGCCCAGGGTCTCCTGCAGCTACTTGGGTTGACTGGGGGCGTGCAGAAGGATAGGCATTAGGGTGTCGTCTCCTAGGGAGCCTCTTATGTCTTAGACCCCCAAATTCTTAGTTATCTGCCTCTCCCAGCAGCACAGGAGGTTCTTAAGTCTGCAGTGATTTCAGTAAGACGACCTTTAAAAAGTCGTAAGATTTGGGGCTGGGCGTTTGGTAGTTTGATAACCAGAGTCTAGCTTATAGGTGAGACAGGGGCGGAGGTGAGGGGGAGTAAAACAGCCACATTGAAGAAGAACTTTAATGTCTCACATTGACTCGTTGACGTAATAGGGGAAATCAGTAAGGAACAGAAGCAGCTGTGTAACGTGGATTTCATTTTAGAGGCAAGGCCGCTGTAGCTGGATAGAGGATGTGAGAATGGATATAAGAGACTGTGTTAGGAGCTTCCGTGGCAGTTGACTAGGTAAGCATGGGGATCTGGAGAGTGAGCATTAAATCCAACAGGTGGTTCCGAGGCAGAGATTTATGAGACTGGTGGATATGGGTAGGAAGGAAGATTGAAGAGGTTCCATGTTTTCTCACGTGATCAGTTGAGTGCATGAACTTAAATAGGAGCAGACTTGTTCGAGTTGTAGGTGAGACTGTCTACCTGTAGATTAGAGATGACAGTGTATTCCCTATCTAGCCTGACAAAATATTAAAACATTATGAAGAATATATTAACATAGGAAATATTTGCCAGTGGTGAACACTTTTAATCCCAGCACTTGGGAGATGGAAACAGGAGAATCTCTGGGGGTTTCAGGCCGGCCTGGTCTACACAGCAACATAGAGAGTTCCAGACCAGCTAGATTTTATATAGTGAGAGACTATTAAAAAAAAAGTTCTAGAGCCAGACTGCCTGAGTTACATAAACCTCTTAGTAGCTGTGTGACCTTGCAAGTTATTTTAACCAAACTAATTTCATGAGCTGTTTATGAGGAGTAAAGGAGTTACTATTAATAAAGACCATAAGATACCATCTGGCAATAGTAAGCACTACCAGCTTTCATTAATACATGGGAATTTGCTGTTTTATTTAAATAAAAAATTAGCTCTTTATACAATTATTCTGGGAATGCTTTTGCTTGTTTGTTTGTTTTTGTTTTTTGGGTTTTTGCTGGTTTCAAGATGAGGTTTCTCTGTGCAGCCCTGGCGGCCCTAGAGCTCAGTTTGTAGACCAGGCTGGCCTTGGACTCCTCCTGCCTCTTCCTCCCAAGCGCTGGGACGAAAGGTGTGCGTCACCACCATCCAGCCTCACAACATTTATTTTTCTAATACACATCACTTTGCATACTTATGATCAGTATATTGCCTTTCTGTCACTAGAAAAGGAGTTTGGAAGCGTGGTCTATGAACCAGCACCATCTGGGAACTTGTTAGCTGCATGTGCTCAGACCCCACCCAGATGAACAGAATCAGAAACTGTTGTGACAGTCTGTCTTAACTGCACTCAAGAGGATTTCTAGTGTTGGCTTAAGTTTGAGAGCCAGTGAACTGGAAATGAAATAGTATTTTGAAATATTTAGCATGGGTCCTAACCCCAGGAACAGTACCCACACATCCTAGGTATATGATAAATATTTGTTAGGTATGTCAGGGTGGTAGTTCGTGCCTTTAATCCCAGCACCTAGGAGCAAAGGCAGGGAACCTCTGTGAGTTTAAGGCCAGCCTGGGGTACACAGTGAGACCCTGTCTCAAAAAACAACAACAACAACAACTACATGTATATTTGTTAAATTATTGTAAAAAAAATCACTTTTGGTTGTTAAAAAAAAAAGGTACGAAGAGTTCTTAGAAAAAATAGTTGAGTATTGAAGTAGAATAATTTATTTCTATTTTTTTCACATTTTCATTACTCTTCAAATTAAAGTATATACCTATTAAAACAACCAAAGCAAAAGATCTACTTATTTCCTCAAAGTATAGTCTGTAGTCTCTCTTGGCTCTTAGGAATAGCTGTCACTGTGTGTCCTCTTTTAGGAAGTTTTTGTGGCAGTGAAGGTCTTACGATGTATGATAATCATTAGCCTAGTTACAGCATTCATCACACACAGCTGTGATTTCTAGGCTTGGCTTTGTCTGAAGAGGTTTCCCTAAAGCCTCAGAGTGATGGAATTAGTCATCTGATTAATATGTCAAGTGCTTATGGTCATTATTTTAAGGTTTTATTTTATGGTACCTTTATGTGTCTTTATGATAAAATTGACAGTTTTCCATTTTAATTTGCTTAAATTCCAGTATTGGTATTCCAGACCATAGTTTTATTCATTTTGTTTGTATGTGTGTGGAGATCAGAGGACAGCTTATGTTCTCCCTTTCCACCACTTGGGTCCTAGGAATTAAACAGGTTATCAGGCGGCAGCAAACATGTTTACCCACTAAGTCATCTCTCCAGCCCTGAGACTCCATGTTTTAGAGCTAGGAAGGGAACATGAGGTGCCGTGTGGGACAGGCTGGTAAACACTAGTTACTCACAGGTTACAGAATCTCAGTTACTTCAACTCCTTATACTCTGGTGAATTTTGTTTGGCTCCAGGTATATGGATTCACGTTGAGAAACAATGGTAGCTCCTAGTATTTGAAGGTTTCCTGTGCCCAGCACTTGCTAAGTGCCCTTTGGAGTCAGGACTACATTGCACTTACAAAAGAAACTGTAAGCTTAGATTTGTCACCAAACCTACTTTATTTAGGGTTCTTAAACACCTTTATCTACCTTCCAACTATGCCCCCACCACACACACCTTAGGTAGGAGATTAGTAGGGAAAAGGGCTTTAGATCTCTTCTATCTACTCTTCTATCTACTTCCTGCTGATTAGGGTTGGTGGGTCTTTAGGGGATTACCAGACTCAGTGGTCAGGATACCAACAGTCCAATCCAAAGGCCAACACCAAGCAGCAACAGAAAATCAGCGAAAGTCTCAGGACT